TAGGAATAGGCCCTCTGACCCATAATGCAAATGAGTTGGTAGATATTCTCTAGGATTGTAATCACACATAGGAATATGATTGTAGGTTACCCTAGTCTCTGCAGCAACCAAAAGCATTAGTGAAAGAGTAGAACTCAAATCCCAAGAAAAGTCAGGAATTGCGCCTGGTGCATTTTCCCAACATAGTGTGTTTTCCATGTTTTGCATCAAAACTAAGGTAGGAGACAAGGAGGTTGGGTTTCATTAAATTGCCTTATAGTTAAAACCCCAAACAACAACATTTCACCATTATTTTCTTCCTAAATCACAATTGCATATTTGAACTATTTCACTGCATTACTTGATTTTGAAAAGCAACAAGTCCCTAAGGATTCGACCTTGGATTACTTCCGAGTATTACTTGTGACCGTGTGCGCTTGCACGAGTCTCTAATTTTTTTTAAAGGTAGAGAAAATCCCAACACTCCCCCACCACTATATTGCCAAGCTATAAAACAGGCAAACAATAGGTCCCACCCGTTCGGAGCAGAAGCTAGGTAGACATCGCTCAAAAATTGTTGCGCACATGGATGAAGAGGATGACGCAGATCGTGAGAAAACATGGTGGTATACAAAGTTGTCTCACTTGGTGGCGGGCTGCACATCGTTGGGACTTGGCACCCACATAATAATGCTCTCTGGAATCTCATAAGTAAAACGATAAAAATCCAGGATGCTCTGCATGACAGTAGAACGTATACTGGCAGGCCCAACAAATAAGTGTTGATCCAGTGACGGCATCAGAGGTTGTGATACATCAAGAACTACAACAGTGACATCTATGCTCGACTAATGTACATTAACCCCGTCTAGGCTCACTTCGGCTATACTCACTCGCTCCAATATTGCAGTAATACCAGTACAACTCAAAAATATACTATCAGATTATACAGGGGTCCTACCCGAAAACTCACCATTCACTACCCCAGTAGCTACTCTTTCAGCAACCGCATTAGCAAATGAACATTCCTCGGTGTCGCCCTCCACCCCCGAGGTCCCTAAGTCTAAAGGAGGCATGGGAGAAGGAAGCCTAGCTGGGCAAAACATTCTAAAGAGTCAAATGCGTAAATTTTTCATAGAAAGATTCTAAGGGGCTAACGACTACGAAATTCCCTAAGCCAAAATCCCTCATATTGCGAAAGAAAAGAGTAAAAAGATCAAAGAATTACCTCAAAAGTACCTTGCCAAAATCGCCTCCAAACAAGCTTCTCAAAGGAAAAGAAACTAGACAAAACCTCAAGGACGCCCAAGCGAGTGACTTCAGGAATGCCTAACTAGATGCAAAACAAAAGGTGGATGTCCTCTCCGGTTGCACAACAAACCTCACTATGCTCCTAAAATGGCCCAAAACCACCAAACTAGGTGCCTTGACTGCAGCAAATCCTAATAGTCCACCCAAGAATCCTTCCAAAAACGTCAAAACCGCACAATAAGCTCCATAAAGCCTCAAAGACGCTCAATAAACCACACTATCATTGAAAGGAAAAGGTAAAATTTCAAATGGGAATGTGTGCGATAAAATAAAGTGATACGTTTTTATATATGCGTTATGGACCACGCACCTAAAAAGCAAATGCAAAGCGCGACACAAAGGAATGGGATTGAGCAGCAAATTGGGCGGCCTTTAGCAAGCAATTGCCTTTAGCAAGCAATGTGGCAAGAGCCTCACTACGCACACAATTTTAATCAAGGACTTTTTTAGTGTGGCTATGCATAAAAGAGAAATATATATATATATGTATATGTATATATATATACACACATACATAAATATGTTTACTATGTTAGAGAAGTATATTGCACTACCAACAAAAGAAAAAAATAAAAATAAAAATAAGTGCCTCACCGAAGGCAAACGACGATAGAGAAGAGGCAATATTGGGCGACACTTTGCCCGGTAATCTTGGCAGTTTGTAAGTACCTTGCCGACGAACAACGGCTGAAGAGGAGGACTGCTTGGCGACGCTTTGGGCCGTTGGTTTTGCAGCCTTTAAATAAAAAAAAAACAATTGGCAAAGGCTCCATGAAGAAATAAAATAAAAAAAACTTGTTACTCACCAAAAAATGGAGAAGTATTCGACAACGAATAGAGCGGCAAACTCGGCCGATGGATGAGCTAAAGTCAACAAATGGGAGTTCAAATAAAACGCGAAAAGAAGGAAAGCATGGAGGTGAACGGCGGCTTCAAGGAAAAGAAGACAAAGGCGCACAATCTACTTCAAAGCTAGGAAACCCTAACTTTGAAGTGGAGGCTCAATGTTGGAGGAATTGAAGAATGGGCCCCTGAAGCCCGTTTAATGATCACAATCTACTTCAAAGCTAGGAAGCCAACCAGGTGCGCTGGTTGCACAATTGCACAGCTCTACGACATTTAACCCCCCTCGCACAATAAAATGCTGGGCGGTGTTGACTTGGGCGGCCCACCACCTTGTGGTAGTGGGCCATGATTTTGTGCAGCCCCTTGAGTTGCACACGCTTTCCGAACACCTTCTTTGACCGCCGCCCATACAACACTGATTGAGCCTTCGTTATAGTGCGGATTCCGGACGAAAGGGAACCAGTTACCTTTTTATGCATCCCTTGGTCCCATTATGGAGCAAAATGTAGAGCGAGAGTTGACTTTGACGGCCTCCCTTGACTTTTCAAGGACCCGTGCATACTACCACCAAAAGCTATAAATAGAAAGGAGGTATATATGTCATTCTCTCTCAAGCAATTCAACCTGAGATTTGCTTATTTCCCATATTATCCTCTTAAGCTCATTAACTGACTCAAGCATTGGAGTGTGGTTGGATGACATCACACTGATGTTTATTCTCTCATTTTCTCTCTTTGCTGTAGATCTAGCCCCAACCGACGGTCGATTTCCCAGATATATCAAAGTAGGTATACCTAAATTAACCAAGATGTACAGGGACTGAAAGGATATATGGCATTACAAATTGATATCTAGGTGACTTTGAAATCGTTGTAGACATTGTTTTAGTCCCAATTACCATTGTCTCAAAATTTGATTTGTACAGAATCTATTGGAGGATAGAGTTTGGAAGTACGAGAGATGGTCATTTTAGCAATAATCTAGTAAACCAAAGTAAATTGGTTGAAATCTTTTTAAGACGGGGTGTCTAAATTTTCGTTTGTGTAATTAAGTGTCTAAAAAGAGTATAGCTGTATTTCCAAAACTCACGTGTGAGAATGCAGTGGCGGAATGCTGTTCAGATGCAGTGGCCCAGGCCCAGTACAGAAGTTCCCCAAATCCAGACGTACATAAAATTTGGCGCAATTTGCGCAGAAACCGTTTTCTCCCTTCAAAACCAAATTCATTACATTACTCGAATCCCAATTTCAAATTTGGGAATTTCCCATTACAAAAATCCTCTCTGTTGCAGTTGCTGTTGAATTCCAAATTTGGGGATTAGGGTTTTTGTTTGTTGAGATAAAGGATCATGAAAGCATCTCTCAAGTTCCGTGAAGACCAGAAGCCTCTGTTCAGAGCCAAGGTTCCTCTCACCATTCTTGGCCTCCCCTTCCAATCCGCCCTAGCCGCCGGCGACTCCAAGGAGCTCACTCTCTCTCTCTCCACTCTCTTCCCCTCCGGCCCCTCCCTCGCCGTCGCCTACCGCCCCAACGACTCATGGAATCCCTTCTCCCTACTCCTCAAGATCGGTGCCGGCCCCTTCGCCTCCCCGATCGCCTCCTCCGTCCTCTTCACCGCCCAGCTCAACCTCATCGCCAGCGGAAATCCCTCCTTCATGCTCCACTTCCACCCCCGCCTCGGCGATTTCTCCCTCAAGAAGTCCCACTCCTCCTCCATTTTCCTCAAATCGGCCGCCGCCGCCGTCGCTCCTGACGACGGATCGCCGGATCTGGGGGATGTTCCGGCCATCAACGGAGCTTTCCCCGGCTTCTCTATGGATTCTCCTGCCGCGAGTGCGGTTTCGGGGTTTCTCTCCGGCATGGAGGTGGCGGCGAGTACGGCGGTGCCGGTGAGGAGCCACGCCGCGGTGAGGTTTCGGTGGGGGCTTAGGGTTCCAGCGGAGGCGAAGGATGGGGTTTCGTTTCGGAAGGCTCCGTTTCTGGTGCTGAATAAGATCGGGATCGAACACGTGGACGGTGGAGATTCCAAGGAGGTGAAAGCTGACATTGACAAATCGTCGGGTTTGGGGGATAATGGGGAGGCTTGTTTTTGTGTGAAGCGTCAGTTTGAGGTTCTGGAAATGGAAAATGGGATGCTCAAGAAGGCCATTGACGACCTCCGCAAGCAAATGAAATCGTTCTCGAATTCCGGCGACCGGCGGTTCAAGGACAAGAAGACGGCGGAATTCGGCGGTTTAGATGGGCCGGCGGCGGAGGAGGCGGCGGGTGAGGAGCTGAGGAAGGCGCTGTCCGGCGCCTGAATTCGTCGATACGACAACGGATTTAACGTGCCACTTGAAAATGTATAAACCCAGTTGTTTTTTTTTCTTCTTTCCTTCTCTGTTCTGTTCTGCCATCTATACCAGTTTTACTGGTTTTTCTGTTTCCTCTCTGAAATTTAGTGAAATTATTTATTTATAAGTTATTTTGTAGAAATGGTTTTGTTTGATAGTGTGGTAGTAAATTTTGGAAAATTTTCCTGTACTGAATCAAGTGGAGGATTGTGGGCTGTGGAGCCTAGCTCGATTGATAAAATACCCATTATTGTCTTGATTTTACATCCGTTCAATTGTTCAACTAAAAAGAAAAAAAAAGGAAAAACAACTGCAATTGTTCAATTGAAAAAAAATAAAAAAGTTTCAATTTAATGATCATTTAAAGTAGATTAATGATATATATATATATATATATATTTTTTTTTGAAAAAGAGGTTAATGATATTTAAAGTAGGTTAATGATATATATATATATTTTTTTTTTTTGAAAAAGAGGTTAATGATATTTAAAGTAGGCTAATGATTTTGTATAACAAATGTAACTTTTTTAACCTTTACAATTATTTTGCAAATGGTTTCATGGTCTGAATCTGGGTAACGCAAAGTTAAACTTATTTCACAATTTATTTTAAACTGGTTACATGGTCTAGTGGTCAGGTCATGGTACTCTGAATCCAGTAACCTGAGTTCATTTATTTTTATTTTAATAACATTTACAGATATGGTACAATTTTTTACACCTTCCCATTTTTATGGTATTTTTAAGCCAGTATGAAGTATATCTTCTGAGACTTCTACAACTTTGGGGTACTGAGGTTTACTTTTAGATTAACTCTTTCTAGATGATTTAGTTTTTTCAAACACAAACTCTCCCCGTATTCCCGTATTGTAGATCACCATCTTGTACTTCTTTTAATGGTGGATACGTCTTCGATTGAAATATCACAAATAAAAATAATTCCCACTTATCCAATTACATAAAAATATATGCCTCAAAATATTACATCATGAAGAATGCTTTGAATATAATTGGAGAGAATAAACAAAATTTGCTCCATGTGTCTTATTTTCTATGATCCAAAGGCCAACAAATAAATAGAAAAAATTAATGACATAAGAAAGGTAAAAATTAATTACACTATAATTCCCTCGAATCTAAAATTCCTACACATTCCATTTATAGGCAATGAACCTGTCTATGTAAGGAAATGCACAAGGTCAAACCTTGGTCCAAACTCCGACTTCAAGCATGATGGAAAGACCTGCATAAGAGGGCAAAATCTCCGATGCTCAAGTCAATAAGTAGCTCAGACTCAATAATAGGTTGGAGGAGAAATTCGATACCTGAGGTTGAAATGAGGATCTCTATATATAGGTGTAAGCTCCGACAGGCCTTGCAACAGGCAGTTACCTTGTCGGAGTTGAGGTCGAACCTATCAGGTCTTCCAGATCAAACCCGAACGGTTTAACTAARGTGTTGCCAGTTTAATGAATAATGGCCAAGTCTCCCACCTTGAAAGGTTCAAGGTGGAGCTACCTAGAAGTTTATGTATAATATACCTTGGTGAATCACCATCCTCCACATGGCCACTCCAATTTCCTTCCCCAAACATTGGGCCCCTCTCTATTAGGTTCGACATCAATCTGGCATAGAATATTTTGTACAGGAAATTGGCTGTCGTGGTGATTTTCGAGTTTGTGGTGCGTAATATAGCCGTTGGAGAATCTCGAAAACAGAGTTGACAGCTGTGAAGTACTTGAGTGCTTCCGACGTTCGATCTCCCATTTGATCAGAATCGTCACTTTCCGGACGTGTACAGCAGATATCGATTTCCAAAATACTATAAATAGCCCTAGGATTCAGAGTCGCTTTTTATGTTTTCTGAAAACTTGAAGTCCGACTTGAGCAGCTCGAAACTTACTCTAGATCAGTCTCATTCTTCTGGTTTTACTTGCGTTTTCCTTTTTAGATAATGTCTAGTTCTTCTAGTTCATCTAGTGGTAGTTCCTTTGATAGGGTAGGTCGGAGTCGGAGCCCTTCCCCAAAGAGGACTGACTCTGTACAGGAGTTTGCAAGTAGGTTAGACTCCGAGCTAGAGGAAGAAATAGACAACTTTAGATTTTCTAAGGATGACAGAGATGACAGTGACACATCCACCTCAGGCCAGGGGTTGGAATTCCCTTCCCTGATGTCGGAGAACTACCTCGGCTCCCTTCGTAAGAGATATGGCATTCCAGATAATATTCTTCTTAGGCTTCCCAAGGAAGGGGAACGTGCTGTGATCCTCTAGAGGGTTGCGTCACACTTTACTTGAAGATGTTCGAGTATAGCTTCCGCTTGCACGTTCACCCTTTGGTGCAAGAGTTTTTTGTTTGAACTGGGCTTGCTCCCGCCCAGGTTGCCCTCAATGGGTGGGTTGCCTTTGGTCTGACGGTGTTCTTTTGATTGAGATGTCGAGAGGTAGAAGGGTTAGACCTCCTTAGGGCCGACCAGCTTCTGGCTTGTTTCAAGGTGAAGCACATCTCCAAGAAGCCTGGTCGTTTCTAATTGTGCACGAGGAAAGGTACAGGGGGCATAAAGGTCCAACCTCTATAAAGAAGTGGGTAGGGAAATGGTTCTACACCTCCGAAGAGTGGTTGGCGAAGGACGAGACCGACCAACCCTTCTATAATGTCTCTTGTAGATTTAGGAACATAGATAAGAGGTCGTGTCTCCTGCTTATTTAAGTTTCGATTCTCCTCGTACTCTAACTTGTCACTTTTATTTTGCAGTTGCCATTAGACCTGTCCCTCAATTGTCTAAATAAACATTCGACATCTTGAAATTTTATAAGGACAAATTCAAGGGTGGCAAAAACGTCGGCAGTCTGCTAACCAACAAGTTGCTTCTTGTGTTTGGATTGTTGGATTAAATCCCCTGCTCGTTCCTCTAGAAGCTCAGAGACTGAACTCAAAGCTAGGTAATACGGTGTCGAACCTTTCTCAGCTTCATTCTGTTAATTATCTATTTATACATTTTTATTGTTTGGATTTGTAGCCATGGTTTGCAGATTTGCTCAAGACGTGAAGCGCAAGCATCCTCGCCAAGGACAATCATCTAAGGCTAGGCCGAAGCCGAGCCCCATTATAGTCGATCCACCTGCCGAGGTCGAGGTGGTGGAGGGGCGCGCTGAGGGTAGCCCTCTAAAAGACACAAGGGAACATGAGATTTCACAATCTCAGGAGATCCTTAATGTTTCTCCTCTTTGGGAGGCCAAGAGAATATCTCCTCCTAAGAAGTCGAAGAAGAGGAAGAAGAGGACCCTTTCTTCAGAAGAGGTCGTGACCGAGGTGAGTAGCAATTTGCTTCACCGAGCTCACGGATGATCCAGAGGCCAAAATGGGGGCTACCTCCAATATCGAGATGAGGTTCAAGGTTGAGCCTTCAAGTGTGGGAGTGAAGGAAAAGGTTATGCAGATGTCGAAATCTTGCTTTGACCGCTGTTGGAGAAGAGCATCAAAGTTTGTCAGTGCTCTGGGTCGACCATTCAGAAGATGTTAGACTATTCTGCCTAGGTAAGACTTCTTGTAAGTTTTAATCTTTTCGTACTTGGATATTTCTTGCTAATCGATTTGTCTGACTTCTTCTTCATTTGTCTACGTCTACGCACACCGCTGTCTGTCACGTGGCAGTGATGATGAAGGCCGAGCTGGATGGTCGTGACCTCCTTACTGTGAAGTTGTGGGAGGCCTCTTCAGTTGCACTTGAAACTACGGCAGCCTTGAAGAGATAGCTGAAAGAGGCCAGAGCCGAGATTGAGGCCTGGAAGTCGACCTTGGAGGCTAACGAGGCCGAACTGAAGTGTGCTCAGAAGGAGATTGAGGGCTATAGCGGGCTTTAAGGGGCGCTCACACCATTGCGAAGGGTTTGGAGAAGGAGAAGTTCGAGCTCATGAAGCGCAACGACAAGCTCATTCGTGGTGCTGAGACCCACCAGGCCGAGGTGGAGTAGCTGAGGGCAGAGTTGGAGCAAGAGAAGTTGAAACTCCGCAAACGGCGTATTCTTGGAACAGGTTTTTCAACTCCACCCAGACTTTGACGGCTTGGCCAAAGACTTCAGCAATGTTGGCTTCAAATTCCTGATGAATGGGATTAAGGAGGTGGCCCCTGAATTAGACCTCAAGCCCATCAAGCGCTGGTACGCGGAGAAGTGGGCATCAGGTCCCAATAAAACTCTTGGCCCCCAAAGCTTGGTGGACCAATACATGAGGGACCTGGACTCCGAGGCCGAGGAGAAGAGAGAGGACGACGAGGATGGCCTGTCCCAAAAGGGTGATGTTGTTGGCACCACTCAAGAAGGCGATAGGATGAAGCATCCTGCTTCTGGTGTTAGTTTTTCCCAAGAGGTCGGGGAAGTGGACTATCAAGAACTTGATCTGCTTGCCTCGTAGGGTGAGCTCAGGTCACACCTCGGGAGCAGCTATTCAGCCTCCAGCCCTTTGTTTTGATATGCTTTCTCATTTTTTTGAATATCTTTGTAGCTTCTGTGGGTTTTGAGGCATGTATACCTCAGCCCTATCTTCGAGACTTAATGAAATTGATGTTTTTTGTATGTTTTTTTCTGCGTATCGCACCTCGCACCTATGCCTCGAATGGTTTCAATTTTTACTACTTGAGTTGCATTATTTTGCTCTTGCTCTTAGGCATGTCTGTTTAGTAATAAACAATAATATACATGTTGCCCCAATTCGATTTCAGGTCTAACCAGTTAAACATGTGAGACATTAGATTGAATCAACTTGAGCAGTTTTATTGCTTTCTAATCGATTAATATTTATACACGTCCACACATTGCGAACTATTTCACAATTCAAGGATAATAACGCTTTAAGTGCTCTACATTCCATGGATGTGGGAGTAGGTTCCCGTCCATGTCGGCCAACATGTATGTGCTTGCGTGCACAATGCCCATGACTTCGAATGACCCCTCCCAGGTTGGCTCTAGTGTATCAACATGCTTTTGAACCTTCCGTTAGATCAGGTGTCCGACCTAAAAACTTCTAGGTCAGACTTGGGCATTGTAGTGTCTTGCCATTCCATTTGGATATTCTGCCAGTCGTAATTGTGATTTTTTTTGCTTCTCATCCAGGAGGTCCAGGTTGAGGAGCAAGTCTTCCTCATTCTTGGCTGGTTCGTAATAATCAACCATCTCTGACAACATTCCGGTCT